CTTTAAGTGAACACTATGGAATGAGATTATTCGTTCGGGATATACACCAACTCACTGGATTCGACTCGAAGCGACAACGAACAACCACATCGCGAAGACGACCACTTGTGGAGAATCCACTCAGATCAATTCAGCTCTGAAGAGGATGAAGAAGTCAAAAACTTAGCAGAAAAAACTTTTTTACTAACCTCGTTTAATTTAATAATTGGCGGTGTTTGTATATTGCCATTAAGTTCAATAAAACGGTGTCAGAATAGGGTTGCGCTCTTATGAACACTGTTCTCTGGAGGTCCGACGAAGAACAGATTTTTGTTAAAGCTATGTTAAATTTTAACAGAATTTGTTTTGACTAGCTGATAATTAATCTTATAGTGGTCTTAAAATCTACTCTTGACCTTGGTTATCTTACTTGTAAGCGAATATGGCGTCACATTTAGCTCCACTGTTGCATCATCCCATTATTGTTCTCTCATTAGCTTCTCAAGAGTGCTTTAAATAATCGTGTGATCAGCGTATTTGGTTTCGTCGACCTCGCCTTTAGCCGATGCCAATGTTGTGGCGAAATCTCATGTTTCAAGTTGTGAAGTTCCATAGTGTCCAACAAAGGGTAAATTTATTTATACCAGTTGCATCATGCTTTAGATTTTTGGATGCGATGATGCTGCTTAATGCACTTTCTACCTTGGCTTTTATCGTGATGCATTTATGGCACAGAGATTGTCGAATTGACTCAGAAGACGGCTGCTGATAGTGAACAAGCTGTGGGGTATGGTGGATGAGGCAGCGTTTAGTAACCCGGCTCCTTCAACGTCCACGTTGCCAGCCATACGAAGCCATACTAACCCACACTACGGAGGAGTTCGTTAGGTGATGTTGAATGTTGAAGTGACCAGAGTAGAAGATCTAGTTGGTTTTTTCGATTGCTGTTCTGTTTTCACTACTTTGTTCTGTCCAGTTGTTGAAGAGTGATTATGTTAGTAAAGTTCTTTTCTTCGGATCCGGATTCCCTCTTATACTTCTGCACTTCTAAGCGCTACTATGGGTAATCATTCCCGGTTAGATTCGCACAGTTGTCTTCTACGATTTTCAAACTTCTGCATAAATTGCTTGTTGCTTGCTTCTCGTTTAACCATTTTTGAGGCATCAGGCCATTTAGTGACCTGAAAACTTCCAGTATTCCCAGCTTTGTTGTGGCGTTGGATGAGTCAATCGCATTTTTTCTTCATATGTTACTAGTGACTGTATCCTGCTTTCTAAATAAGTGAAAAATCGAATTTGTGATGGCTAAGCAGTTTAGCTTAGCAGATTCCCTCTCGTTCCATTGTGAACAAGAATTGTACTCAAAATAGGCGAGTAGATCAATCCAGAGAAGAAGTTCGGCAAATCATCAGCATTGGTCAGAGCAAAACTTTGACTTATTTTCTTAACTAAGTGAGCTCTGCATTTAAATACTCCTACTTTAAAGTTTCCTTCCAACGGTTTAAGGCCTCATCGTGGCCGGGAGTTATCCCAGGTTGCTGGACTGCGATGTACAGCAGGGGATTCATCTTCTGGGTAGGGTCTCCTATGCTCAGAATTAGTCCAGCGTTTCCATCAGAAAGCCCAGCTAAGAGCGGACCAATACCAGGACTGGCCACTGTCCTGGTATCAGATTAGTCCCATGGTGGCAAATCTCACTCCAATCCGCAGGAAAGGAGACTGCCTATGGTAGCACCGGCCTAGGACAGCCACTGGCAAAGCTGACCTAGGAACTGCGAGGAGCTGCAATGGATAAAAAAGAAGAATCCCAAAAACCTTGAATTTCGTTCTTGGTATTTTTCTATTTAAAATTATAGTTTTATACGAATTGGAATTTTTAGAAATACTTGTTAGAAATTCAGCAGCTATTTTTTTGTTTTATTGTTACTTCATTTGAGCCATGTTCACGTCTACTGTAAGGATTCCAGCACTTATCACATTCTATTCGTTTCCTCACATCCATTGTCCACGAAGACATTTCAACTTTCACGTGTGGCTTCGGATGTTGCTTGAGGGTTTTCATTTCGTCTTGAATATCGTTGAATGTTGGTCGAACACTTCTCCCTGGAGTCCTGAGATAGTCCAGCTGCAGCGTTCCATTTGAATTGCGGCGAGTGATTTTTTTTCTTAGGCAAATCCGGTACCAATTTCCCGACCCATGAGGTATGAGAGGCTTGGTTGGCCCGGTGCGAAATCGAACTAGCACCATTCTTGTGATGACGGACATCGCGAGCACTGTGCTTTTCGACCCTTGTCGTATTTTTAACGTTTTTCAAACGCTCTTATTTAATCTACCAGTCGCATTTAGAAAGGATTGCTCTCATAATTAGCCAGTCGTACGCGGCGAGTGCGCTGTATTTGCTCGAGGCATTTATACTTTTCCAGCTTGTAGCTGAATCATCTCGAGAAGAAGGCAGTCATCGAACCCACTGCAGAAATATAGGGCTACTGATTTTTGTCTCAAGATGCCACCATCTTTTTCTTGTCAGAGTATGGTCATTCTCCGAATGACCAGTGCCGTTAGAAGGCTCTATTTCTGGCGTCGGCTTCCTTTATCACGGAAAAACGAGTCTTCATGGACGAAGTGTATTAAAGCAGAAGCATATAAATAGTCTCGTGAATTATTGTCCTTGTTTGCCTTGTCGAGGTTCGTCGACTATTCAGGTCCGTCCCTCATTGATCTCGTATGTCACCTATGTAGATTATGTAACTAATATTTCATGTGGTAATTGTTGAATAATAAATTCACTCTACGTTTACTACATCACAGCTCTGAATTTTACATTGTCCGTTACTATTATTTATTCAGGCGATCACGTTAAATTTAATGGTGAAATAGTGACCGACCTCTAATGGTCGGGGTAGATGCTGCAGTCGACAAAAGTCACTTTTTTTTATAGGCGCGAACAAAAAACAGCATTTGTGCCTTCTGCTTCCAGTTCGAGCTTGTGCAAATGCTTTTCTCCGCAAAACTTTTCTGAATTCGTAAGGACAAAAGCTCGACTTTGTACTCATTGCCCTTTGTTACCTTTTGGTTTCCTGGATATGGTGGTGAATGAAGGCAGTTCAGTCCCGTGGATGCCCTTGATGACGCTATTGAAAGGTTCGTTCGTGCTGTGGAAGGACTGAGGCAGGATTCAAAGATAGATGTCGTAAGCAAACAGTCTCAGCTCAGATGTTCTGGTCATCTTCTCGACGCGACTCATGGCTACACCAAACAGTTCAGCAGCTGTACTGAACAATAGTTGTGATTATTAGCAGCTTAGATGTGTCGTCGTGTAATCTCTTCCCGTGGGGCTGTTACTGGAAATGTTCCAAAATGTCTTTAGTTATCCCAATAGCAGTAAAAAAACATTTGCCAGTTATGCAGATGTGTGAAGGTGAACCTAATTTCTGGCCGATAGCATCATCGACATCGGTTGCCGTTTAAAACCCGTTTCTACCAACCACAAAGACTTGACTGATAATCTGGTATTTTAAGGTAACCTTTGAAATTTATACTTGCATAGAACTTCAAAGATTAATTGTTCATTGTAATACTGAGATAATTGCAAAACTCCGGACCGTAGGTGTCTGCGGTGGAAAACGAACGAGCTATTGTCCTCTCCGGGGAGTAACGCGTTCACCACCATACCATGCGGGTCCTTCGTTTCGCCTGTCTCTCAGCTTGTTCTATCGATTTTTTGCCACCAACAATCACCCGTCAACGGGATTGATCTGGGGAGCCCAAATCGGCATTGAACCTAGTTAGCTGAGAGTTAGCTGACAGACAGGAGAAATGGTGGATCGCCATGGTGTGGTGGTGAGCGCGTTACTCCCCAGAAAGGACAGTAGCGCGTTCGTTCTCCACTGCATACACCTACGGTCCGGAGTTCTGCAAACATCTCAGTATTATAATAGTTATATTTCGCAAAACACCCTGCTGTAAAAAAGAGTAGGTAGTAAATAAAAAGGTTAAGGTTAATTAAGAATCTAGTTGAGCGAAATGCGTAAGGTTTGATTGAAGCAGTCACCTCCTCTCTCACATAGTTCTGCTTTATGGTAAATGTTTCGTATCGTTTTCGAATTGTCACTTAACACCACTGGAATAACTTCTAGTTGTTAGAAAAGACCGTCTCCACATGATTAGTGGCAGCACACTTCCACACTTGACCGCTTTTCCGTTTTCGAGTTTCCGAGACTAAGGCACTTACATATTCGATCCCCACATTTTCTATATCTCTTAACAATGATGTTATCCAGCTAATTCCAGTTTAAATTCACCCGGTATTTCTCGTTGTTTGGCTGACATTGGTCTTCGGCAATTTCAATATCCTTCTGTTTAATAGTAACAGTAATGGAGCTTAAAGTGTCTTAATAATTACAATAATTAATAAAAATTGTAATTAACATGAAGGGGAGAAAAACCTCCTAAGGACCTTAAATAAAACAGCAACTCCCTCACATTCAATCGACGGAGCATTGGCTACAAAATTCGGTGACCAAATAACTAAGTAAACTTTTGCACGGTTCAGCTCCAAATCTCCGTCCCAATTCTCAGGCTTCGACGAAGATTTCGTCACTTTTGTGCAAAGCTTAAATAGATGTTGACAGCATTTCTAAGTACGAATTTCTTTAAAACTCATCATATATGCCATTAATAGTTAGAAGTCTTGGAAATTTCTTTGCTACCCTTTCTGCAACAGACTAACAGGTTAATTTTTTAGACCAAACTTGAAAAATGTGCTTTTACAGTAAACATACTAATCTCTCAGAAAAGCAGTTCAGCAGCCGAACTGAGCAACGATTGTGATTAATAACAGTTTAAAAGTGTCATGTCTTCGCTTGGGGATGTTATTGAAAATTTTGTAAAATGTATTTAGTTGTTCAGATATCAGTTAAAGATCACTTGTCAGTTATGCAGATGTGTGCTGGTGGATCTCATTTCACTCTAATACGCTTACTGATAGCGGTAGTTAAAGAACTCCCGTCGTTATCAAGAAATGAATCGTTTAGTGGATATTGTTGAAAAATCAGCTCTCCTTTATTCATGGAACGTCACATGGAGTGGTCTTATCAAATTTTTGGAGGTAATCTTTGACATTTCTATTTGCATAAAACTTCAAGGGATCATTGTTCAATTAAGAATCTCGTCGAACAAAATCTACCAAAGTTGGGTGAAGCAATCACTTTTCCGTTGACATGGATTACCTTTGTGGTAAGTGTTTTACATCGCTCTCGACTTGTCACTTAACGTCAGTGAAATAACTTCTAAGAGGATTGTATTTGTTAGTAAAGATCGTCTCCTTATGATTAGTGGCAACACATTTCCACACTAGACCGCTTTTCCGTTTCCAAGACTAAGGCACTTACATATTCGACCCTCACTTTTTCTACATCCTTTAACAATGATGTTATCCAGCTAATTCCAATTTAAATTTATTGTGATATGATGTATAACTGTTTCAGGTTCTTATAGTTATTATCCAATTCGTCAAAAAGCTATGGGAAGATGGCGTCTTTCGTGGGTGGTTTGAAACGTGCAATCGACAGCCAAACGACAATGATTTCCTCGAGGTGACTCATCCAATGATCTCTCGACTAAGTCTGAAGAAACTGTCGATTTAATGAAAAGTGGGAAAATCAAAAATTCACGGCACATGTAGGGGTGATTTTGGGATTGTGTATGTGATGCACCAATTTCGAGAGGGCAGAGGTCTGCGAAACACTTTCTTCACAAAGGAACATTATTCGATATCTTTTCTGAGGTACTCAGCTGTGATCATGGCATTCCGGAAGAGTCGCGCAAAGATTTCATCTAAAGATGTGTTAAGACAGCAGTTATGCTTTCACATCTTACCTATTGTAAATAGCGTAGAGGGTAGGAAAAGTGCGTTCACAGAACAAGTCCTTAAAAGCTAATCTACTGGTGAAATGAAGTATTCAAAAGAGTGTTAAATCGGAGAAGAAGTGGTTCGTGTACAAATTAATCTTCAGCAGGGCAGTTGGTTAGCTGACGAAGTTATATTTGACTCATTTTATCGACCGTTTATTTTCCGACAAAGAGGCTTATTAAAACAAACTTTGTTTTCATCCGCCGCTTTTCGAACACAGATCCTGAGGCGAGTGTTGACCTTTAAAGTCTATATTTCCCATTTAGGAGCACAGAAAAACCGTTTTTGAACTAGTTCATTGGTCAGTAATGTGACTGGTTACTGAATATTATTTCAATTTTATTCACTCTGATGAATGATGATTATTGTATAGCATAGGCAGGTATGGAGAATACAGAAATGGGTTCAGAAGAAAAACGCGGAAGACACTTCCAAATGCTGTCAACAATGTGGTCTCATCGTGGATAACATGTAGTTGTCAGCACAATGTGTACACCTAGAGCGACAGAGCATGTTTTCTTATAAATAGCTGTCCTCAACTCGAAGTCCGGTGGTTATCGTGAAATTATCGCCTAATGTAGAAAAACGATCAAACCTCCAACCAACACAAACCTAGGAGTCGTTTCACTGGCCCTCCATACAAACTTATGCGTCTAGGATCGCTGACTTTCTAATGAAAACTCTTACTAGAGATGGCAGCTGTGTCCTCTACGTCAATCACATCTGCAAAAGTTTTATATCCACGTGGAAATTTGCCGCTATATGAACGATAGAGAAAACAATTTTTTCACGCTGAAACTATTAGCAGTTCCGAACGACTACCGGCTAACATCAGTTACACTGCTGAAGTTTAGGAGTTGGAGCGGCGTCATTGAAAACATTTCCCAAATATAGCGGTGCTTTCTTGGCTTGCCACAGTGCTGAATATATAATGCGTTATGGCTCAGCTTCTGAGTTCGGCCGAGTTACTTCTTAAAAACAACTTTCCCTCAAAGGTCAATGACAAGGTGTAGCCCAGAAATGATAGTGTTCAGCAAGCACTCTCTCCGTTATTGGTACAGGTGGATATATGGCAAAGAAAAAATTGTAGTCGAGTGGAACAAAATTTTCTTTTTAGTTTCACAGGAATTACTACCATCAGTGTATTTTTATATGTCAGGTTGATGACGACTATGATGAAGAAATCGACATCTCAGACTACGGACTGGACAGCAACGTGTTTGATGATGCCGCCAGCTTTACGTCCGGTAACAGATTTTCAGGTGATTGTTTGGCTAACATCTTAAGGTGCAAATACTTACAAGTTTAATCCCATCGTGTAGGATATTTCTGGAAAGCTTAATTTGTTTTCCTCCATCAGACAAAAAAATATATGATTCAACCATGGTCACAGATGAGTATGATGGTTTCTCATACTCTTCCGATGACGAGGCAGCTGGTTGGGACTGTGCAGTGGCGTTTGATAGTGATGAGACTTTTAAGAATAAATGCTGAGTAACCTGTGTATTGTGATCTTGTTGTGTTTTACATTCGGTGAATCGCACTGGTTTTTTGTCGGTTTGGTTGACTTTTTTTTGGACACCTTTAGTACTACGAGCAGATGGTCATATGTATACATATATGCATATATATATATATGTATATATTATGTATACGTTTGCGTATATACATTTATACATGTTTGAGAACATGTATAAGTATCCTTCCTAACGGTCTACTGCCTCATCGTAGGTGGGAGGTGTTCTTAGATGTCGGATTGCGATGTACAACGGCGATTAATCCCCTGGCATGGTCTCCCAAGCTGAGGAATCTAGAGGCTTCTATCAGCAAGCCTAGTTAGGAGCAAACCAATACCAGGATCCATCACCGTCCGTCCTCTTATCAAAATCGCATGGTGGCAAATCTCCCTCTGACCCACAAGGGCTGCTGCAGCCTGTGGTCGCGAAGACCTGGTGCAGAATTTGGCCAGGCTGACTTCGGGATTCCCGGGAACCACAATGGCTTAACCAGCAATTCTCCGAAAAATGGAGGCCGCACAACCAGTGAAGATGGGCCATTCAAGTATCAAATATCAAGTAACTAAGTATAAGGATCAATTTTTGATTTTTTAGAATAGTTTGCAAGATCATTGACTGGAACTGATAGGAAGGTTCTGCAAACTCAAATACCCTTAGGTAAAGATAAAATATCGGCTGTATACATACATTCGCTGCGTTTTCTCCCAACATTCGCTTATTCACGCGCTGAAGAACAAGTGAAAGAACGCATTTACGGCTCTAAGCTTCTCAACCAGACGAAAACCGAAGAACATGTTGACTGCTGAAGCATTGTCATACTTTTTAAGCTAGGTGAATTGCTACGCGGCTTAAACACGTGCCAGTTACTCGGCAGCAGTTAGAAGCATGTGGTAAAGTCATTTTAAAGCCACCGTCCTTCATGTGCGAACGCCTCTAAAAAGAACGTGAAGGAAAAAAGCTTCACAAGACTTTAAGAACGGCCTTATAATACATTGATTTTCTGGTCTCATAATAGGGAGAGGTAGTCCGATTAATCCTAGAAAAACTATAGGTACATACTGCTCCTAGTTCCAGGGCTCCTTATAAACTCTTCCTGTGTACATGCTTGTTGCTGTTCCACTCATATTTCTTATAAGCGCTCTTTTTATGAGGGAGAACGAAGGTAGTGCAAGAGTATGCTTTCACTACTTTGTTTTCGCTACCACTTCGTAGTGTAGTCATTTTCTGATAGGTTAATTTGGACGTTCAGGAATGGAAGCCAGTTGGCTTCGGATTTCCCTCGAGTGTACTTAAAATACTCTGACTGCTCATTTAATAAGTCAAAAAATCTACCCATTTCCACCTTGTTGAGAAAATGGCAAATCAATCACCTACATAACTACAGTAAAAATTTTGCTAAAAACCCGTTACTGGTTAAATCTAAATAAAACTAAAAATTATGAAAATCCCATTGTTTAGAAAAGTGAACTATGTAAGTTGCAAAACCTATCTTACAATATTTTACAACCTTCGCCGTGCTGGGGCTGTGGCTGATTATATGAGCGTTCGATTCTTTTCCTTATACTCACTTCTTTTCTCAATAATGTGCAATTCCCTCTAAACGGTTTACCGTCTCATCGCGCCTGGGAGGTGTTCCTGGGTGTCGGACTTCGATGTAACGCGGAGGGATCTGTCAGTTCGGCCAGCTCTCCGAACCTGAGATGGTGTCCCGTGTTTCCACCAGAAAACCCTGTCAAAATCAAACGAATACCAAGATCCACCACTGGCCTGGAATCAAACTAGTGGCATGGTGGCAAATCTCCATCTGATCGGCGACTCCGTGCCCATCTTTTCGACACTCAATGGTACTTCCTGCCCTAACGTAAACGTCAGAAACCTGATCGCTGCGTGAGCAGGATGAATCAGAGATCACTCAGCGTTATAGAACGCGCAGTTGCTAGGACGATGCTATGAGTAACCCGTTTCACACAAGTAACGGTAGGGATCTGAAACTCCGACCTGCGTGGGCGATTAAAAACCAAAGATGCCTTTCTGTACACCAAACAGTTGAACATTAGATGGTGGGTTGGTCACGCAATGTGTATGAATGACAACCGATGGACAAGAGCCGTTAGTGAGTGGATTCCACGGGAGGCCAAACGCACTGTATGAAGATCACCGACCCGATGGTCGGAGTTCTTCACGGATAGCCTGGGAGAAAGATTTGATGCTCAACGAATCTCTAGAGCAGAATGAACGCACAGGGCTATTGTTGCACAAAACAAGGAAATATGGAAGATTTACTGACTCCGGCTCGAATCACTCGACGGTCAACGGGACTATAGGTGGTAGAGGTGAAACCAGCAATACCGGAAAAAATAGCAATTACGTTAGGGTCCGTACGTCCAGTGACGACTGCCGTTTAAGTGTCAAAGTAAGTAAGTATGTATACATACAAATACTGTATTGTATTGTCTTATTGTATACACGTATAACAAACGCTAGTCTCTACAAATAGGAAGGGATAAATCTCTCGGCGTCAATGAATCCTTGAAGAATGCGCAGTGCATTCGATCTCATTAAGCAACATTTGGAGGTTATTGAATGCATATCTGCTTTTCACAATGACTAGCGGTTGTCTATCAATGTATTGTATTAGCGCTGCTATTATTCCAGATCAGTGTGGTACGAATTTACTGGCACCTAAGTGATGAAAGGCTTGGTGAGCCTGGGGTGCGAGATCGATCCCAAGCGTATTGTAGGATACCCTCCTAACACTGCGCTAAATGCGCACACAACGCTAGCATATATTTATGTATACATGCATATAGATATATGTATATGCTATCCGTACCTATAATGCACGTACACTTGCACCTTGATAGAAGACTCGATCATGCAAGCAAGAAGAATAAGGGACGACGTCATCGGACCGGCCCAGACGAGACCACACCAACCATTCAAAGCCGTCTGTGACACCGGAGAAGAACTCTTCCTCGAACATGCGACAATGGAAGAGTCGGCGGAGTCGGCGCGCACACCCGAGTTTGGCCATGAACATTGAATCATTTGAACAGCTAACAATCTCCATTGGACGTTTACGATTGAAGAGATCTGCATCAATATCGGCTTTGGCACACTTCGTCGGCTTGAACCACCATAAGCTGTTATTTGTTCGCATAGCCACTGAGTAATGAACACCGAATTACGGAAACTAAACACCGGTCCACGAAGCAAAACAAGACCACATGTTCGGCAAGTGGAAGAAGTCGGAGACCAAGGAAAACCATTGTTCTGAGTATATAGAGGACCCCTCTGGAGCAGAATTGTCGATGGGTGAAAGTTAATTTGCAACTTTATTGGAATAAGAATTAGAATTAAGAATATTAATTACATCACGTTCATTAGCAAGGATTAAAATGTTACAGTTGCCGCCCATCGACTTTCACCCCCAACCAACTCTTCACGTAATGTTCGGGGTGTAAACAAATTTAACGACAAAACCTACTGTAACTGTTCTAGTAAACTTTGCCAGAGTGCTTTGGATGAAAATCCAATACACAAAATTTACCAGATACCTTCCTGGCTATGACATTAACAGCTCCAGTAAGTGGAAACATGAAAAAATAGAGCGAGAATAGCGCTTGTAGGTATCCAGAAGCAAATTTGTTGGGGACCAAGGTGGAAATGAAGGACAATAATCGAGAACACAAGCGCGCAAAACTCATGAGGCGTTCTGGATTAATTCCAGAAATCCAAAAATGAGCAGCAGCGAAGAATGCCTCATTATCACGCTTGATATTGGACAGTATATAAAACTGTTGTTCTGATGGGTAGGGCACATTACGCTTCCATGTGAATTCTGTGCGGTTGGTCTTCACGCGACATACTCAGTGGAGGACTCATAGAAAGCGGTGAGTGTGCAAAGCTGTGTTCAATGTGATTGAAATCTTGATTCAGCGTTTTTTTCTGTTTGGTTATGGAGGTGTTTGGCCGAATAGTTTGCTGCCAGCTTGACCCTTCCAAGCTCTGAGGAAGGCGAAATTCGCCTAAACATCAGCTTATTCGTGAATAAAGAATAAAAGTAACACCTCGCGTTTGCTCAACAAAAGTACGAAAAATTACTTGATCAATGCCGAGGTTAATAGAAAGTCGGCCGTGGGAGTTACTGCAAGATGTTCCAGCAGGATACTTCCGACTTGTAAAAGAAGCGCTGTCACTTATATTTTTGTTCATGATGTGGACAAAGCTCGACAGTCAATACACTTTCTCCGCCGCTATCTAAAACATCGAGTGGTTCCAAACTTCATCAAATAAAGACGACTACATGACGTATGCGCACTACGAGAGGACAGTCACCGAATACTGGATATCGAATTGCGAATACTACGCATCTGTCTACGAAGCCGACAAAACCAGATGTTCGCCAAGTGGAAGAAGTGCGAGACGAAGGAAAACTTTTGTGTTCAGTATTTGGAGGACCGCCTCTGGAGGAGAATAGTGGGCAGGACAGTGTAGATTTGCAACTCTGTCAGGTGTAATGCTAAAGCAACTTTGCGGAAAAAATTCAAAGTTTTTTTCAGTAAATTGCACAACACGGCTTCGAGAGCATACAGAAACACTGCTAACGAAGTTCAAGCGAGTCACAGTCGGATGTGCAAGAAAATTCGAGGCTAACTGCGTTACGAGGAATTCCTGTTCATGATGTGGAGAGCTCGTTTTTGGAATAGGGTCCCAAGTTTCTCAATATCTGAACCCATTTCTAAGGTAGCCTTGCGTAGGATCGCATATAGTTTTCATGAACTTCAAGATAGACTCCACAGAAAAGCTAGACATGACGCCCTACATAGGCGCGAACGACAAGTGGAGGCACTACCATTACCACTATTTCCTCAACCGCTCTTTAAACAACAAGAACCCAATCATAAAGTTGACTTCCAATTTCGGATGCTTAAGGAAGAAACTTTCATGGTCTGTAATCACTTTCACGCGAAGAGATATCGCTTCAACCTCATAGAAGTGCAGAAATTGTGGTATGCGGGAGGTACGAGAGCTGATAAGAGCTGATAACCGGTGAAAAACATAAGACTATTTGTTAGTGATAACAAGGAGAGCTGGTAGTAATTCTCCATCGGTTAGATGCTAAAATAACGAAAAAGTATCTTGAATACGCTCCACTTTATCGCCCAACATCTGAGAAAGAGTTCAAAAGTAGACACCGAAAATTGGACTACGAATGGGTCAAAACAGGTTGCTGGTTCAAAACCGTCTCTTATATCTCAACTAAAAGTTAGTTTACCAAAATAACCCGTCTTACACTTAATTATCAAAATTCGTAAGTTATATCCAGTAATGAAGTTGTATCTACCGATCCATGGTGATTTAAGGTGAAACGCATTATTAGCTGTGTAGACAGGCTAACGGATTAAACAACATGGGTTCTAACCCTGATGCATGCCCAGTTGTTAAAACACATTCCAGCCCATGCAAAGAACACCCAGATATTTCTGGTTCGCATACGCAGCGCGTGTTTAAACAGCGCGCAAATGGTGGAGTCCTTCGACGTCACCGCCCTCCATACAAATGTGTCGAATGACTCCGCTATGCAAGCCATCCTCGAACTCCTTGCACAACACGAAAGAGGAATAAAAATTCATGCACATATTAGAAATGTAAATAAAAGCCTAGAATGTAAAATGTGAAAACATGTTGCAAGGAATGATAATTTTGGCACACCGCAATTCTCTTTGACGACTAAAGCATCCCTTCCTCTCTAAGCGAAGTTTGCAGATTCATCCATTTGCTTACTTTCTATGAATCGCTACTTTTCGATAACAAAAACTGCAGTTTGCAGTCTATGAATAGTGATATTTTTTTTAGAAACGTTTCGGATTTAAGCAATAAAATAGAGATGAAATTGAACCAAGAAGTGGAATTATTGCCACCTCGGAGGAAATTCTTGTCGCAACGTTGTTATCTTCTTCCTTTCTTTTCTTCCTTTCTCTTTTTCTCTCTTTCTCTGTGATAAGAAGAAGCTGGGGAAAACCAGTAGAAACTACTCACTTTTATGATTTTCTGGAGGCAGCGACAATGCGTGGCGAGCGGGCCGAAAATGACCTCACCACTTGCTTCTATCTGCTGCCATGCAGGCGGCACTTGTTCAACTCACGTAGCAAGCAACTTATCCTGAGAAGGACGACAACACTCTACGTGTTCGTTGGATTCTTACCGATTAGACAACGACGAGCCTCAAGTCCAATTTGTGCTGTTACCACTAGCGCCGATTAATGGATGTCAATGAAAAATGGAACGAACAAGCGAATATTCTATTCCTGTAGGCGAATGTTTGCAAAACCTCCTATCATCTGCGCTCAACGTTGTAGAGAAAAATGCATGTAAGCATTAAGATGAGCAAAAGCTATTCATTGCTTCCACCCCATGTTCAAGCTTTGTTGACCACTTCTTTAATAAAAGAAAAGCTTATTCACAATACCTCGTAGTTTCTCAGGTTTTAATTTTCAGCCTAAGCTGTCGACATTTTAGCTCAGCCTTTAAGAGCGGGTGCTTCCTGAAACATCCACAACTGCTTGTCGTTAGACCGTCTAGTCCATCGTTCTATTCTTCAGTCCCTCACATACTTTTTTTGTCCTGATAAATTTTACGCATACGCTATGGTCTTTTGATTATGCTACCATTTTTTTTGACCACATACACAAAGGTTCCACGAACCTCCCTCATATGAGGGATCCCGATAGCCTGTTAGTAGCGAAGCTACGTGGCGCGTCCCGAGGTGGCGGATAGGGTGCTAAACGCGGACCAAAAGTGACCGCATGTTTCCCTGAGACGTAGGTGAATCCAGGAGAAGGACTCCCTGCTTTTGCTGCGCCGCTGTGGCACATACTCTTTGTATTTACGAAACGTATTCACGCACGCGTGTGTGGGTGCATTCAAGTTCATAAGGATTGTATTCTACGAGTCAATTCGGCTAAAATCTTGCAATCAAGTAACAGGGAAGTATATGGTAGGCGGTTAGGAGCCTCCTCCAACAAATAAGCTCCATGTCCACTCTGGGAGAGCCTGACAAGCTACCCGTTAATATACCCAGCTCCCACGTTCAGAGCCCAGCAAGCTATACGTGGATAGCAATAAGAAAAAAAAACTGGAGACAACATTATACCTATACATCAATACTTCATCTTCCACCACACTTCGTCATCGCTTCAACGTACAACGAATTCTTCTCATCGTGTAATATTTCGATCAATCGAGGAAGAGAATATGCAAAGCCTTCACTGCATGTCGAAATCGAGTTGGCTTCTTCATGGTACTTTTCGTGTTTTTTTGTTCCGTATGCTCTATGGACTTTATCTCGTCAAATATAAAAATGCGAAGGTGGGCATAGTGTAGTGATTAGAGGCGTGTTACACAGATAGAGTCGGTTGTTGGTTCGATCCTGAGTTCTGGGCTCACTAATTCCTCCATCTATCCCAGGTCGGAAAACTGATACCAGACATGGGAGTCTTGTTTTCGAGGATGGAAATGCCGACTTGGTACATCGATCATAGTCTCCTGTATGCCATCACGTTGGCCAAATAATCATTCAATCACCCATGCTCGATGAGGTTGTATGCATAGTGGTTCACTTAGGAATTGATCGATAACGGCGTACTTTCTTTCTTCCCTTGTGCAAAACCAAACCACACCATCAGTAGAGTGAGATCAATAATTTAGTGGGATGCCACCACATGGCAGTTGGGGTGATCACCAAGGTATCCTCTTTCATCTTAGAAATGGGCTAAAACCTTTTGCAGAAGGCTAACTGAGAGCAAATTGATGTAACGAATTGTAATGATTAGCCGACGCCTCCTACTGCTCCGATGCATAAGGCACCGTTATTGCTTGCGAAAAGGAGTTGCTATAGAACCTGCCTAAAAAAGAGAATATCTATGGGAATTATGTGGCGTAAGCACAAATGTTGAAAAAAGGATAACATTCTACTGCTGACAACTGGCTGCGCAAAAATTGAATTTTTTGCTTAGTTTCTATCGGGGGGTAGGAGGGTACTTTCTTGTTCATTGTAAAACTTGCGCAGAACTGTTTAGTTTTCTCTAGCCGTTTCAGTACCTCGCATGCCGATTTAAATATTTGACACTGCTGGACCCTTCGGACCGTAGTTCATGA